CGTTGTGACAAACACCAGATACAGCACTGGGACTTGATCAACAGCCGATACCGCACCGTGACGTCACTAACCAGTAGGTGGCAGTAGTGTTCTTTGACAAACATGGATGTCTGCAGTAAAGCACATTCACATGAAAATTACTCTGAATTACAAACACTTATTTATTGAACAGTATGTGATAATTTCAGGAAATCCTTAGAAATGCTGACAGAGTCCATCCATGGTCTCATTAGACTTGGAGGCGTCGATGTAGTCAGGCTGTAATCCTGTTTGATTTTATTTTAACGTCTGTATTTCTTCCCAAATGCAGCATATTTATCTTCAGGATTAAATCCCCTCTGATTAAAGCTGCAGCGTTTGAATAACTAAGTGTTCAGCAGAGACTGAGCGCTGCAGGGCTTCTAGAAACGCTCCAATTCATTTGTTATATCAGCAGGCAGGCAGGCTGCTCCTGTTTGCATTCAGGCTTTTCTAACCTTTCTTATTATTTTGACATTTTAACATGTTTTCAGATGAAGAGAAAATAATCTGCTTAAAAACTTCAGCAGCTCATATCAGGCATCAGTAGTGATGGTTAATGAGGCATCTTTAAGCCAATCTGGATTGATACCGTCTCACAGAATACTGACACCTGCTGGACATTTAAAGACACTACAGGCAGCTGATTTTACAGACTAAACTGAATTGATTTGATGACCTGGTACAATGATAGAATTTAAGGTTTGTAGGTTATATTGTATTATTTGATATCTATGTTTAAATTGAAAATATATTTGATATTTTTAGATGCAGCCAATAAACAATGTAAAAATATATCATAACGTAAAAATTTAGGGGAAAATGTGAATGAGGATGCTTGTGGACTAGGGTGTGAAATCGTAATTTTTAAAACAATAAGTACAGAAAAAAAAAGTAAATACACTTAGACTCAGTTTGGAATTAACTTTAATTTAGATTAGTTGAGTGATAACTGAGAGCAAAAGGATGACCCAACGAGAAAATTAAGATTAAAACGCAGCAGCTGAAATGTTCGTTTTCCTTTTAGGCTGCTCCAATATTTTTGATAATTTTAATGATTAACTGCAAAAGATGAGACTTTTATTTAGCAGATGCATCGTGTTGACAGATACATTTTTAAACCCAGTTTAGTGAGTCAGTCAGTTAGAAACAGCTCCAGTATTGGTCACATGAATTTCTTGAAACGGGACACGCACCGATGCAGTGTTTTACTCTATGGGCTCCATGCATGCACGATGCATTGGGTTGGGTTGTTGGACCCATCATTGGGGATCAGTTAGACCAGGGGTCGGAAACCCAAACTGCTCAAAGAGCCAAAAACAAATTAGTTTGAAGCCGCAAAAATGTAAAAGTCTTCTATCAGCCTCGTATTGCAACACAGGCTCTAAGTGTATAAGACCATTATAGAAAAGGACTATGTGGGCTTCAATATATAATAAGCATTCATGATTAAATGTTTATCTGGAGCAAATGTCACACAGCAGCATGAGGTGAGGAAGTAGCAGTAAACGCTCTCACTGTGCGCCACTTCACCGCCCTTCACTGCATGGTTTAGGTTTTGTTGCATTGATGAAATGATAGAAACAGGATAAAGGAATCTTTCTATGGTGGACGTGTTTCTGTTGGGAGGAGCTGATTGAGTCATGAGGAACCAAGCAGGAGCTGACATCCATCAGAGCAGAGCTCTCTGACCATGAAATTCAACATCCTTGGTTCCTTGGTGTTATTTTTATTTTTAGGATTTAGGGAAACAATGAATGAAAGTTCCCATCCCTTCATCAGAGCTCTAACCCCCAGATTCCACATACTCCGTCAGCGCTCCGC